AAAATAATGACTTTTTGTTGGCTATAGTTATTATAATTTTTAAAGTGCCTTATACTACAATAATAATAATAATAATAATAATAATAATAATAATAATAATAATAATAATAATAATAATAATAATAATAATAATAATAATAATAATAATAATAATAATAATAATAATAATAATAATAATAATAATAATAACGAGAGAACATTATTATCAGAGAACATTATAACTAAAGATATCATATATAAAAAGAGTAGCCTAGCAGATATCATATGTAAAAAGCCTAGCCTAGCCTAGCAAAATTTTCTTGGGAGTTATCGCTCTTGAATAATATTATCACTGATGTCAGAACATTAAAATGTTAGACCAATACTAAAGCCATGTGCGATTGATAACATTCTTATATTCTGAAATTTTTTGTTCAAAATAAGTTTTCGAATATATAAAAACTCAAGAACTAATTCAAAAAAACAAATTTCATTTTTAGTTTTATTTTTGTTTAACAGAATTATTTTTTCTTATAATGAAACTCCATTTTACTTTATCTTGGCAATAGAGTAATAATTTAATTTCTTAGTGTTACATAAAAATTTAAACACAAAAATAAAATAGAAGAAAGAGATTAGAATTTTTACATGAAATAATCCAAAAAGAGAAAATCGCAAGGCATAATCCAGTCAAAATAATCAATTATGTAATTATAAGCATATGTTAACTCTTCTCTAAAATTAGATAATACGAAATTATAAAGCTAATAATCATAAATGTACAAAAATAATGTAATCATAATAGCCATAATTTGGTTACAACAAATATAATTCTTGGTTACCACGAAGATATTTGATCACAATGGTTTAGATGATAATTGTAATAGTGATGATTGGTGACGAAAGCCGTAATTAGAAGTTGTAACAATAGTAGTTGGTCACAAAGTCTGTAATTAGTTGTTACAAAGGCAATAGTTGGTGTAAAGACTGTAGTTCATAACTGCAAAACTTACAGTTGGCCACAGAGGTCTTGTTAGAAGCTGACAGTAATAATCGACCATAAGGACTTTAGTTGATTGCTACAAAGACAGTGGTCGGTCATGAAGAATGTAGTCGATGGTCGTAATATTGGCAGTTGGCCATAAAAGTCGTAGTTAGGAGTTGTACTAGTAGTTGTTGGCTACAAAGACCGTTGTTTGTTGCTAAAAAGGTTGTTTTTGGTTGCTACAAATGCATTATTTGGTAATAAAGATTGTAGTCGATGACTACTAACAGTAGCTGACCATAGAAATAGTTAGAAGCTATAGCAGTACTAGTTGGTCACAGAGTCTGAAGTCGATGATTGCAACAACAACAGTTGGTCATTAAAGTCATACTTGAGTATTATAACAATTGTGGTTGATCACATACCATAATTGGTTGCTACAATATTGTAATGGCCCGATCTGGTATTGGTATGGATTTTGTAAAACAAGATCCGTCTCAATATAACATTTTTACCTGGTTTACAACATTTATTTCATCCTAGATGCTATCTCTTATTTGCCTTCTTAAATTATGCTGCTTCTATAAAGTTTCTAAATCTATTACATTGCCACAGGATGCTACACGTTGCAAAATACAGACTACAATTTTATTTATAGACTTTCAAGGCATTAGCATTAACCAAAAAAAAATTATATCTTATAATACTAAAAGATCTTAAGGACATTAAATCTTAATAAAATCCATAACATATTGAACTTCTAGCCAATAAAACAATCAAGTCATCAAGAGTCTTTTTATATAAACATAACTGTCATAACTTATTTCATAATGCTATCTTCAAATAAAATATATATGATTTCAACTAACTGAATTAAAAAAATTCACCACACATTATACATATATCAATCAATCATCGAATTAGCACAAACAATATATGACCCAAATTATTCTTAGACTATCTGCTAACGTCTGCATATTATTTGCATATTACTCCATTCTCATCAAAGCATGTCAATCCCACGTAACATAATCTTATTTCTTACAAAAAATGCAAGCAGTACTTTTGAGCATATCTTCAACTCAAATCAAGGTTTAGCGATTAGACCCATTTCTCAAAATCCATCCCTTAACTAATAATCCCTAAATTAAATTTATTTCTTGCACCCACCATACTTCAGAATTATATATCTTGGAAGTAGCGATTTTGAAAATCATCTAAGCTAGTTATATCTCTCCGAAATAGCTCGACATAATGAAATGCTTATAAGGAGGCATACAACACAAAGGAAAAAAAGTTGATCTTCATCACCAACAATCATATCAATATTTATCAAATTTTGAATGATGAAATTACCCGCATTCAAATGTGATTTAATCGACATGCTTCAATGCATCAAAAGTAGAGCTTATGCTTAGGATATAATTTGCTAAGAGACTGGTCACCAAGAATGGCACTAATTTGAGTTGCAGATCTTCCACAGTTATTTCCTCAGATTTTTGTTAAGATCACTTTTGTCAATCACAAGTGAATCATTAAGATAACCTTTTTACTTATTGCTCCATTCTATTCCTAGCTGATGAATACATTCATCACATCACACCAAACAAGTGCCTTCATAAGTCCCATCAGACAGAAAATATGCATCTTATTTTTCAAAAATCGAAAACTCTTCAAGGTACCGAATTCCTAAATGTTGAACATTATGGCCTTTGTATTTCATATAAACCTTTGATTTAATAATAGTTGTTATGAAGAGTGTGCTTAAGCAATTTTAATGAACTAGAAAATAGTTATAAAAGAGATTAATCACAACAAAAAATAGTATCACAATTTATGGTTTTAGCTTAAGCCTAAAATGATAAAGGAAGGGAGAGAATCTAAATACTAACAAATAAGTCATAATCCTCGTAAACAATAAAAGGGTACTCATGAGCCTTATCCAAAACCTAAAATGCATCCTCAATAAAGAAAAGAGAAGCACCAAATCTTTCAAATAAGTATCACAAAAATTATAAGAGATGATGACATATGATTACAAAGACACTAAGAAAATTATCCACTTTTCAAAATTTATTAAGATGATACTTCGAACACCCAAAAACAAAATTATGACTTTCTTTTCTTTTTGTCATCTTCTCTCTCATTCTCTATTCTCAATTCTATTTTAACACCACGCAAAAAAAAATTTATGATTGTCTGTCTTATACTTCATCCAATTAAGCTTCTGCAATTCAAATTACATAACCACAAACCCAATGCAAAATTGCCTCTTATAATACTTATTTTAAGTTTTAAAACATTAAGCTTGATGTATAATTCATCATGTAATTTGAATGAATATAAAATCAATTTTAATAAATCACTAAAATATTTCCAAATTTTCATATAAGAAGCTTTGATATATACTTCATCATGTAATTCATGAATCTAATTGAGTCAATAAATACAAATATATGGGGAGACCATTGTTCGTCAGAGAAGAAGAGCGACGACGAGTGCTAATTTGCCCAATTAATGATAAGGCTGAGAAAGAGAAAAAGTCACCTCTAAAACGCCCCCAGTGAAGGCGTTCACAATATTTGAAGTGTAGATAACACAACACGATGTAGATGAAAATGACAAAAGAATCAATAGTAATAAAGGGGGCAAAGGCATTTTAGGCAATAGATGAACGAGGTTGTGGGAAAAGAGAAGAAAACAGTCAAGAGGAACAAGAACCATAAAAAGACAAAAGATGCGATCATTATTAAATCCTTTTTATTTTTCTTTATATAATTATCTCCCTGGCTATTTCAAATTTATAAACATATAGACCTATAAAAATCCAAACAAATGAGTCAGCTTGCCCACCCAATGAGAATAGATGCATGCATAATCAACTCGAGCTTGTCCATAACATGTGCTCAGCTCATCGCTCAACCTTCACTTATTAACTTGATAAGTCTAATTTGTAAGCTCATTAATGAGCCGAGCTCAAACAGGTTTCATCTACACCACACCCTAATGTTGATGATATTAACAGCTATGTAAGAAAAGCATTGGTCTATTAAAATGAGCCAATAGAGTGAGCAACTACATCCTCTTGTTGATTTTATTAAAAGATATGCAGAGGACCACAAGTCCCAGCTATAGGTATATGTATATTAAGAGTTGGCAAGTCAGTCGTCCAATTACAATTTATTTCTAACTCTTCCAATTCAAACCTAAAAAATATACACTTCAGTAAAAAAAAAGAACTCGAGTAAAACACAATGTAATACAAATAAGTTATTCAAACATTCTCATATACAAGTGTAGGTTATATGATGCCAAATTGAAATTAAGCTAAAATGTATGATTATGTAAACTATATGCACAATGATTATAAATTCACTAAGACAAAAAAGTAATGATCAGTTAAACCCATCAAATTCCATAATATGCAATTATAACTAGTCATTGCGTTGTGAAATATAACCTCAAATTGAAGATTCAGGTTGCAATTATTTTTGCAAAAACATATTGATTCTCAAAAGTAATAACTTGGCATTCACGCCATGCTCACATGCTAAACACAAATTAATCTATGAGCTTGCTTAGCATCGACCCCTAATCCAACCCCTAGACCCCAGTTAACAAAGTACCCATGCAATATTACTGCCAAAAAAAGAACATGCAAAAAAAAACTTTCTCAGATTAAAAAACTTGAGATAGAACTTTGGACATCAGAACAGGCATCATTCGTGTCCTCTCTTTCTTATCTCCCTTCCCGGCTCCTTGGAGGCATTTACTTACCACACAAATCCTACTCGTTCCGCTATTTAACACCTAAATTTTCATATTTACATACATAGCACTAAAATTTTTAATGCGCATCAACAATATCACCATTAATTACTTTTTAAAAGTAAAATACAAGGAGCGCCATGCCTCAAAAAAGTTATATTTAAATTTATATCATATCAATTTTTAATTATGTGAATAAAAAAAAATATATTCTCCAAACAAAAGTGCAATAAACTCTCCTATCCAAGAAAATAACTCCACAATAATTTTTTGCAATTTAATTAATTTATTTATTTATTTACTGAAGTAGCTTACCAATGATCTCTCCTAAAAGCAAAACCGCTCATTATTATCTTCTATAGTATACGATACAGATAGCTTCATCATATATTACCAGCAATTTACCTTGATAGTAACCTAAAAATATGTACAGTTTGATCTAATTGGCAGCTATTGCTTCTGAACTATGTTCTTCCTCAAATAGTGCCTTAGGCTCCAAATCAATGAATTGGTTAGACTTACTTGCTAGATGTGAAATGCTAACCCTCCCCTGTCTTTTAATGTATTCAGCAACAGCCCTCATTTCCTCAGGAGAGATGTATATATATTTTCCACGATCATCCATCACACCAGATAATCTCCCTGTAATTCCCAACAAAGTGCTACATGCGTTCAGTGCATACAAAATATTTACCAAATTGAATCAAATTTATCGCCGACATCACGATAAAGCAAGTATATAAATAATATTTACCCATATTTTCCAATTCCATTATTCGGTTTATGCAGTCCTGAAAAACAATGATAAAAAAAAGTGTAAATAAGGCAATGAAATGTTAAATCTGCAAAATCAAATTTATTGCAGATTAACAAGCTAGATAAAAGAGGGAAACACAACTAAATGTAAATTGCTACTAGTAAAATATCTGGTAGTCAATTTGAAGGAAGCATGTCTCCATCCATATTAAGGAGACCATATAGTTTTGCTAATCATTTATCCTTAATGATTGTTAACTTTTCACAAGGATTTTATTATAAACAGTATTTCGTAGAAAAATGATTTATTATCACTTTATTAGAGATTTCTTTACATATGATAACTCGCACTTAGCCTTACAAGCATATAGAAAACAGACGTCCAGTTCATTAAATCATAAAATGTTGGATCAAGCCGAGCTACATATGGAACCCAATCCAAGCATATTAGTCATCATCGTGCAATCTTGTATGAGCAACCCAACGTGGGGCTGCTATTAAATCCAAAAGCTAACAAAAGAAACTCCAACTAGAAACCACCCACATAAAATTCTCATGCATGCAAGCAATCCCGAAAAGGGGTTCTTGCATGTACATGTACTTCACATATGAATTAAAAAGGGTAAGGGGATGATTTTTCGGATGGGATGCCAATTGTTCATATTTTTATTAACTTTCCTTATTACACAGTTGAAAGTAGCTTAGATAGTGGTAGCTTTGTAAGGGATAATAGATTTGTGTTTAGCATAAGTTATAATTTGGTTTAGTTTGGTGCTTTTTGTTGTCAACTTCCACACCCTTTGATAAATAAAGCAGTTTTAGGACACATGGTTCAATAGCAATGAGAAAAAGTACAATGCATGAAAATGCAATAAAGTAACTTTCTTTTTAATATTCCCAGAAAATGCTTTTATGAGTTTATCTTTTCAATCTAATAAATTAATGTTAATTAATGATAAGTTAAATATCATTTGGATTCGTCGGGCTAAGGCGATGCTTCAATTAAGTTCATGATTTTTAACCCCCTCGCCACTTTGGTAGGAAAGGGTGGGATCTCATTTTAATTAGCTGATAGGACATTTAATTTTCTTAAATTTAAAAGAATTTAATTTCTTATGGCCAAAATACTCTCATCCTCATGGTTTTTTTTCTATTCAAGAGGTAGGGCATTTCTAACAAGATCGCGCCGCTCCAACAATGTCAAAGATGGGGAAGAAGCATAGGAGAGTCCACGTAATGGGACGGATCTTATCATTCTTAGGGGTTATAGATAATTTTCCAATGATCTCAAGCCAACATCTGCGGGGAAAAAATAAATAAATAAGAGGTGGAGGTGGTGAAAAAGGTATCAAATTCAAAGAAAATAGTTAGATGGGAAATTGTCCCATACGGTGAAACTACTGGAAGATCCTTAAAGCCAGCTAACATTAAGAACAACAAGAGGGACGATTTCTTGAAAGAAAAAAAAAAAGTGACAACCTCAACATCAAAAGAAGAAATGGGAGATAGAAGAAAAAGTTGAGGGTTATTTATATCTTTCACACTAAATTGATGTTTCTATTAACAGGACCAATGTGAAGTCTGTGAAGCCCAATTGTCAAGCACTGAAGTAAATGATTGTTTTAAGAAGCGTTAAACGTATGTGATGCCAGTTTCATGCAAATGAAAAAATCAACATGATATTTACCCATAATTATACATTAATTAAAAATATACTATAATATTTTAATTGCATATAATTTATAATAAAATCATTAACAAGAGTTTAAACAAACAGCCAAAACTCTTATAGCACTTTAGGCAACAGTAATATTGCTATTTAATCATCTACTTTACAGCACAGCATGGCAACAGATTGCAACCCTAAACCTTACCTTAAAGGTGTATAAAGTAGGTTGATAATCAACCGCAAAATATGGTGCCACATAAGTAAATGAAACATTTTTAAAATTAATGGACAAGCTGTTAGATGGTGAAATGAACTTGCATTTGTATGGTGGGCAACACTTGCATAGGCTTAAAATCATTAATCTTACACCTCTTCCATCTGATGCCAAAAAACGACAATAATAACATTTCAGATATGCTAGTATTGCTGGTAATGAGATGATTAGATGAGCCAATTAGGGGTACCTCGTGAACAATGGGGAGATAAAAATGAGGTATACATAATTGCAGATTTGTCATGAAACGATAGTAATATTCAAAAATTAGATACAAATCATGTAATAATGAAACAGCTGAGAAAATAAACTCGTCATGAAAGAAAACAGCTTCAATGCTACACGGTTGTGGATGGAAAAATGTACCTGGGTGCGGAGCTTGAACTCAGCAGCAAGATCTTCTAATGGAATGCATTTTTGCTTCTGAAAATCATATATGAAGACAAATTTATTGCTAAAATTTCAGTTATTCTCATTTATAAACTCAAAACACCATTTTTGATGCAAAATATTACCTCCATAAGCAAATTAATAATTAGAGAACACTAAGTGAAAAAAATCAAACACCATGACAGGAAAAAAAAATGTAATTATTATGAAGTGGTAATCGATCTGCAAAGCATATGCAGTATGGTATGTGGATTCTTGATCATTGGTCATGCTGGGGGTGCCAAATAGCCGTCAATTGAAAGGCATGTTGTTACAAGTTATGAAATCTTATTCTCGAGAGTTGTGGGGGGCTCGGGTTGACTCCCGCTTGGCCCAAGCTCGCCTCAAGTCAAACTGAATAGGTTGAAGCGGTGGACATCCGCTAGATCAAAATCTAATTTTAGATCAAACCAAATTTGGTCCGAACCGGACATTAGACGTGGTCGATGTGTAAAGCACATCAATGCATGCAAATAATTGCAATTAGCCAAAATGTTAACTTTTTGTTTTCCTGGAGAAATAAAATTGAAAATTATTTCAGTGAAATTACCACCGTTATTATAAAAGTAGAAATTGAAATAATTACTCAATAATCATGTGAAATAAGGAGCTGCTCGATCATTCGTCTCTTTAGCACCTTCTCCTTCTCCAACGATCTCGAGCCTATGTGATTAATCTACAACAAAGTTTTACAACCCCGGTCTTTGTACTTTACAACCATCATGTGTTCAAGTTTGATGCTATTATATGTTTGGTTATGTAAATTTGAATATATCTTTTGCATGTTAAACGCTAAATCCAAAACAACAAAAGCATCACCTTACCAACAATAAATATGTTGAAACATAGGTCGTCCATCATTGAAGATTAATAGAACCTTGTTTAGACTTCCGAAAAAAACATCAAATAATATTCAAACATGGATTAAAGAAGGCTAGAAGATTGTTCAGCATAATTCGAAGAATGTTAGAACATGATTTAAAAAGGTTTGAGAAATTTTTTAACAAGTTTGAGTATGGTTTCAATATGGTTCAAACAATATTCCAGAATAAAAAGAACATATTCGAACATGATTCAATCATGACTTAAACATTTTTTGAGCACGGCTTGATGATTTTTTGAATAAAGCTCAAATATTATTTGAGCAATGATTAAACAAAATTCAACATTGTTCAAACCATTTTGTTTTGCTCTAATTATTTTTAATGGATTTGAAGTATTGTATTTTAACTATTACTTTATATAATGGATCATTATTATAAACTAACTCACAAGCATGTTTTAACATATTCTTTATTGGTAATTGTTCACTCCTTGCTAGTTTATAGAGCCGGTGATAAGAACTTCTATGAGTTTGTAGTACATATAACTACACATTTTGTTCCAATTAAAGTGATAAATAAAAAGGTTGTCACTGCACATTCTAATGAATAATAAAAAAGATTGGAAAAACGATCAACTACAAAATTAGATTCTGCCCTTCTCTAAAGAGTTGAGGTAGCTTATTCTTATTTTAATAGAGAGCAACTAGCTTAGATTGGAGAATTAGCAATTAATGTTAGAGAAAAAATTAAATACTTAGACAAATTTTATTCCAAGTTTTATAAATAAGGAGGAGAAGAATAGAAATGAGAAACTTGCAACTTAGTCTTTCATTCAGTTGGAATTGAGTATGAGGTGGAGCAGAGCAAGAGAAAGAGATTGAGAAGAAAGCAGTAGAGGGGATGGAGTTAGGGGATGTTAACTAAGTCCTTTTTATAATATGTATATATATAAAGCTCAAGAAAGCATGAGATGTTAGCTCATCTTTTATTATTGTACATCAAAGCGAGTCAAAATTACTAGGTTATAGGAGGTAAGAAATAAAAATATTTGCTTGGGAATTTCATAGATTTACTGAGAAAGAAACAGCACAAGCCCATGAATCCAAGCATCATTGATCCCTTCCAGATTTATGGATGTTTTTCTGGGAATTTTTGGACAAAACACTCGTGGTCTCTTTTCGGGATTTTCCCGTGTTTTCTACGATTTTCATCGATTTTAATCGATTTGTTGATTCGTCGATTGTCTCGCATTTCTCTTGTCTCGTGAGTCTTTTGACAGAGTCTTTTGACGATCTTTTTCGAGATTTATGAGCGATGTTTCTTTAAAGCATTTCAGCCTGCTTCCTCAAGTTTTGTTGCTTGTACCTGTTGTATCAATTACACCTAAGGAACAGCGGACCTCCCAGATATACAGGTTTATTTTATGTTTACAGCATGTTATTCTCTTCTAATCACTTCCCTGCTATACCTCCCTGCTGTACCTTTTTTTCTTTTCTTTACACCGCATGTCGTACTGCTTTCTCTTATCGTGAGTCTTATGACGATCTTTCTCGAGATTTCTGGAAGATGTTTCTTTAAAGCATTTCAGCCTGCTTCCTCAAGTTTTATTGCTTATACCTGTTACATCAATTACACCTAAGGAACAGCGGACCTCCCATGTATACAGGTTTGTTTTATGTTTACAAGATGTTATTCTCTTATAATCACTTCTCTGTTGTACCTTTTTTCTTTTCTTTACACCGCATGTTGTACTGTTTTCTTTACTGCATACTCTACTGTTTGTCATGTGGAACATACTCTACTATTATGCTATACACTATACAACTTCAACATGTTATCTATAAAAATATCTGAAGAAATACAACCATAGGGCCGTTGGATTTGACATTATAACCTGAACACGGGAAAATCCCGAAAAAAAGACCACAAGTGCTTTGTCCAAAAATTTCAAGAAAAACATATGAAAAAATCCGAAAAGAGGATGATCGTTGTTCCTTAGGTGTAATTGATGCAACAGGTACAAGCAACAAAACTTGAGGAAGCAGACTGAAATGTTTTAAAGAAACATCGTCCAGAAATCTCGAAAAAGATCGTCAAAAGACTCACGACAAGAGAAATGCGAGGCAATCGACGAATCAACAAATCGATTAAAATCGATAAAAATCGTAGAAAACACGGGAAAATCTCGAAAAGCCACGAGTGCTTTGTCCAAAAATTCCAATGGAGAACAGCTAGCTTCCTTCCAAGTCATAAATATTAGAAATGGCAAACAAAAATCCAAAGATAAAGATATAGAAGTGATAATGGAAGCGCAAAGTGATTTTTTCAGTTGAATACACTAGCTAAATGACTAGATAACAAAGTAATAAATTATATTACTTCCATGGGATGAGTTTGTGAATCTTTGAAAACACTTATTCAATTTTATTTATTCAATTTTTTTGTAGCACATAAATTTTTAATGTTAGGTAATACCGGAGCAAATCTAGGGCAACCCAAAGACCTATGGATTAGGCATCATTTAGTTGGATAAATTTTTCGATCAATATTGTAGAGGTCACTACATAGAACAAGCTAAAGGGGTCCTTCATGTGGCCTGAAGAAACCTTAACACAAGTTATTGTGGAGAAGTAAGAATTCCTTAGGACTTTGGCTAACGGGAAAAATTTATGTATTTTTCATTTAAATGAAATAAAATATATTCAATGATTTATGAAATCTCAATATGTATAACTTTGATCCCTCTTGCTGTAATGTAGATCTTGCAAGAAATGATGACTTCATAAATTTCAGATTGCTTGGAATGTCAAGGTTATTTGACATCATACAAAAATGGTTCTCCTCCAAAACTCATTTAAGTGGAGGAGAGCCAAATTATCTGCGATTGCTAGGTTTGTCATAGGATAGGTCATATGAAATTTAAACCCTTGATTAAAAACCAATCAAAGTGTATGCCTCCATGCATGCCTCAAACGTTAAAAAGATGCATGTATGCTTCTTATTTCCATCTGTGAGGCTTATGCCATTTTTGACTGAGGCATATGCCTCAACACATTTGAAGTAGTGCCTCAATGAAGTTATTGAAAAGATATTTATACTATGTTATTAATATATTTTATATTAATATTAAAATATAGTATTAACATATATTTTATAATATTAATCATATTACTTTATATTATATTATAAGTATATATCTAATATATACTAAATACGATCACTCAATATAATATAATCGCTAAAAAATGGGGTTGCAAGTCTAAGTGTGGGACTAAAGAAAGAGTTATGGTTTTCGTGCAAGTGCAAGACTCAAGAGAGAAAGATTGGGAGCCTTGCTGTTTGGTTAAGTTTATTTTTTTATTTTATTCTTACAACTATATTATAGTTTATAATTACAGTTATTGTGTTAAAATAATGTTTATTATAGTTTATTAAGGTTATTTTTTTTCTTTACAACATATGATTATTATTATTTTCTTTTAATGGTTCTATATTATTGTTAATGTTAATGTTTTTTCATATGACAATTTTATTATTTCTTTAAAAATTTACACATTTGCTTTCCTAAAGTGAACATATCCATTTTTCCTTATTATGAAATAATAATTTAAAAATTATTCTTAATTTTATGCATTTTTATTTTTCTATTTCATGGCTTACATCTTGATTCGCTTTAAAGATTATGTCTCGCCTCATCAAGTCATAAAGACTCAATTACTCATTTCATCCTATAAATACCGCCACCAACCATCATCCAAAACCCTAAAAATTCCATCTATTTCCTCTTTATCCTCCGGAGCGATCTGCAATCGAGTACTCCTCAGATCTAGGGTTAGTAATATGATGATGGTAAGTCTTAAATAAGAAGCCCCTCTTCCCCTCACCTCTCTCAACCACATCTCTCTGATCTTCCGATGCATCTACGAATCCCTAGATTTCTATCAAAATGTACTCGGTTTCACCCCCATTCGAAGACCCGAATCGTTCAATTTCGACGGGGCCTAGTTGTTCAATTATGGGATTGGAATCCATCTCCTGCAATCGAAGGATCCCGAAATCATTCCTTTGAATCGCGAGATTAATCCGAAGGACAATCACATCTCATTTCAGTGCGAGAGCTTGGATTTGGTGGAGAAGAAGCTGGATGAACTGGGGATTATTTATGTGTGT